GAATGGGACCTTCTAAAAATTAAATTTTTATGTGCTTCCAAAGACTTCTCCAAAAGAGTCAAAAGAGAACCTACAGATTGGGAAAAAATATTTGGCCATGACATATATGACAACGGACTTATGTCTAAAATTTATAGAAAACTGTGACACCTCAACAACAGAAAGATAAACAATCCAGTTAAGAAATGAGAAGACATGAATAGATACTTCACCAGAGAGGATATTCAGGCAGCCAGCAAGCACTTGGAGAAATGTTCATGATCATTAGCCATTGTTGTTGTTGTTATGTGCCGTCGAGTTGGACCCAACTCATAGCAACCCCTCCTTGGGCTTCTGAGGCAGTATCACTGCATAAGTAGATTGCCCCATCTTCCTTCCGAGAAGTAGCTGGTGGGTTTGAACCGCCAGCCTTCTGATTAGCAGTCAAGTGCCTTAGGCACTACGCTACCAGAATTCCCCATTAGCCATTAGAGAGATGCAAATCAAAACAACAGTGAGATACCATCTGGCCCCAGTACTAATGCCAAGTTCAACAAGACAAAAGATAAATGCTGGTGAGGATATGGAGAGATTGGGACTCTCTCATATTGCTGGTGAGACTGTAAAATGCAACCATGTGGAAAGCAGTATGGCGATTCTGTAAAAACTTGCAATTAGAAATATAATTTGATCTAGCAATCCCATTACTAGATATATTTATATATATATCCTAAAAAAGTGAGAGCCAGGACAAGAACAGATATATGCACATCCGTGTTCATTGCAGCATTATTTACAATAGCAAAAATCTGGAAACAGCATATGTACCCATTAACAGAAGAATAGATAACCAAACTATGGTACATACACACAAAGAAATACTATGCAACACTAAAGAATAACGTAGAATCTGCAAAACACTGCATAACATGGATGAACTTGGAGGACATTATGCTGAGTGAAATGAGTCAATCAACAGAAGGATAAATATTGTATTAGTTCATTATTGTAAAAAGTCAAGGAAAGATTTATATATGGAAGGAAATTTTCTTTCTTGGTGACCAGGGGTAGAGGGGAGGGAATACTGCAAAAATAAAACAATAAAAAAAAATAATAATGACCTAGACCCATATATATTGACATGAAAAACCTCAAGAAAACAAGCAAATAATATAACTTAATAGAACAAGACTTCTTTTATTGGAATAATAAAAATATAATAATAATAAAAATATCTCATTTCACATATGTTATGTAGACAGAATAAACCTAGAAATACTATATCAAACTGTTAATAGAAGAGGGATAACAGTATTTCATTTTGACTTGACATATTTATTTTGTGTGCTTTTTTATCCCCCAATAAGCATTTTACTTTTTAAAAAAATTAAGCTTTGATTTTGAGAAATTGTACACTCAGATGCAATTGTAAGAAATAATATTGAGAGATTGTGTGTGTACTCATTATTTAATGAGTGATATCTTGCCAACTATGATAAAATATCACAACTAGGACTTAACAATGATAGTCAAGGTAAAGAACATTTCGGTCACCACAAGAATCCCCCATGTTGCTCTTTAGTTAGCTACACCCACCACCCACTTCTCCTGCAAGTCCCTATTCTTTAATCGCTGGCAACCACTAATAGTTTTCCATTTCTGTAATTTTTTCATTTCAATAATATTATAGAAATGGAATCATAGAGTATGTAACTTTTAGATTTGTCATTTTTCACTTTGCATAGTTTTCTGAGATTCATCCAAGTTGTTTCATGTATCAGCAGTTCATTCATTTTTATTGCTGAGCAGTATTCCATGGTGTGGATGTAGCACAGTGTGTTTGACTAATCACCTGTTGAAAGACTCTGGGTTGTTTCCAGTTTGGGGTTATTGCATATAAAGCTGTCGTGAGCAGTCTGTATGGGTTTTCATTGATTATGCTATTTAAAAAAAGAAGAAGAAGAAGAAGCTGCCAGACTGTTTTCCAGAATGGCTGTACTATTTTGTATTCCCACCAACAGTATATGAGTGATTAGTTCCCCTACATCATAGCCAACATTTGATGCTGTGACTATTTTTTATTTCAGCCATTCTGATCTGTATTATAGATAGCTCATAGTGGTTTTAATTTGCATTTCTCAAATGGCTATTGATGTTGAACGTCTTTTCTTGTACTTATATCCTTTTCCATAAGATGTCTGTTTATATATTTTGCCCAATTTCTAAGTATGTTTTTACTGTTGAGTTTTCAGAATTCTTCATATATTTTAGATATTAGTCCTTTATAAGGTTTATCTGTGGTTGCAGATATTTTATCCCAGTCTGTAGCCTGTCTTCTCATTCCCTTAACAGTCTTTTACAGAGTAGAAGTTTTTAATTTTGATGGTGCCCAGTCTATCAGTTTTTCCTTTTATGGGTCGTACTAAGAACTCTGCCTAGCCGTAGGTCCCAGAGATTTTCTTCTGGAAAATGTTTATATATTTAAAACAATGTAAATAGCAACATAAAACTGTCATCATTTTTCCATATGTTGAGTACATGGCTCAACAGCATTTGTTAGGCTAAGCAACAAATGTACCCCTTTCTGACAGAGGAATTAATGTATCACCTAGAGACCATATTGTCAAGTTTTCTACAACTATCAGAATACATAACATGCTTTTATTTGAAGTGCAGTGTTGTCAATTTTGTGTAGTTAGACTATTGTTTAGAAAAACTTACTCTGACCTAAGGTCATCTTTTTGAATCTTTGTATAGCATTGTCTGACTCTTATTTTTATGTTTGTATTTTCAGTTATTTGTTCCATAGTGGAAACCAAGAACATCCAGGGGATATTCTGCTAAATACAACTGTGGAAGTTTTGCCATTTAAGGTATGACAATTTGTTCCTCTTGATTTTCCTTAAAGGACTAATAATACCAGTAGTCTTGGTTGGAGGCTATTCTTATTTATGTGTTGAAAGAAAATTCTCTGTAAAGACTTTCAGGACCTCAGTGGAGAGTAATATTAATTTATATTTTTAAAATACAGACTACCTAGTAGTTTGGCCTGTTTGCCTCATGTGTAGAAAAAGCATTTATTTTGTTTTCCATTAGAAAATAGCTTGGAAGTCTATACAAGGAAAATAAATGAATCATTTTTATTGGTGTTTACCTGCTTTCTGTATTTTGAGTCTAAAATACTATGTGGTTTTAATGTCTGTTGATTAGTATAAAAATTTGTTGGTGTCTAGGGAATGCTTAGATTTCTGGAAATTCCCAGTTAGCACACAGTTCTTTATTTCTCTCTATATTTTTAAAAGACAATAATGTCTTTCTATTAAATTAATTTAACGTTTGTTTTTTCTACCACTAACATGTTGTTGTTAGGTGCCATCGAGTTGGTTCTGACTCATAGAAGCCCTTCGTACTAAAGAAAGAACCTGCCTGGTCCTGCACCATCCTCACAGTCATTACTGTATTTGAGCCAAATGTTGCAGCCACTGTGTCATCTCTTTGAGGGTCTTCCTCTTTCTTGCTGACCTTTTACTTTACCACGCATAGTATCTTCTCCAGGGACTGGTCCCTCCTGATAACACGTCTATAGAGTACATGAGATGAAGTCTCACCGTCCTCGCTTCTAAGGAGCATTCTGGCTGTATTTCTTTCAATCAATTTGTTCATTCTTCTTGCAGTCCATAGTACATTCAGGATCCTTTGCCAACACCATAATTCAGAGACAAAAATTCTTCATCAATCTTCCTTATTCATTGTCCAGTTTCACATGCATATGATGCAATTAAAAATACCATGGCTTGAGTAAGGCACACCTTATTCTTCAAAGTCACATCTTTGCTCTTGAACGCATTAAAAAGATCTTTTGTTGTAGATTTGTCCAGTACAGTACATTATTTGATTCCTTGACTGCTGGTTCCATGGGTGTTGATTGTGGATCCAAGTAAAATGAAATCCTTGACAACTTCAGTCTTTTCTCCGCTTTTCATGATGTTTCTTATTGGTCCAGTCATGAGGATTTTTCTTTTCTTTTCTTTATGTTGGGGTGTAGTGCATACTGAAGTCTTTGATCTTCGTCAATAAGTGCTTCAAGTCTTTTTTACTTTCAGCAAGTAAGGTTGTATCATCTTCGTATCACAGATTGTTAAGGAATCTTCCTCCAATACTGATGCCACATGCTTTTTCATATAGTCCAGTTCCTCAGATTATTTGCTGTGCATACAGATCGAATAAGTGTGGTGAAAGGATACAACCCTGACACACACCTTTCCTGATTTTAAGCTATGAAGTATCCCCTGTTCTATTTGAATGACTGTCATTTGGTTTGTGTACATGAACACAATTAAGTGTTCTGGTCTTGCCATTCTTTGCAATGTTATATATAATTTGTTATGATCCACACAGTTGAATGCCTTTACATAGTCAATAAAATACAGGTACACATCTTTCTGGTGTTCTTTGCTTTTGACCAAGAGCCATCTGATATCAGCAATGATATCCCTTGTTTCATGTCCTTATTTCAGTCTGGCTTGAATATCTGGCAGTTCACCATTGATTTATTGTTGCAACTGTTTTTTTTGTTTTGTTTTGTTTTTAATTCAGATCAGTTTTACTTGTGTGTGATATTAATGGTATTGTTTGATAATATCCACATTCTGTTGGATAACCTTTCTTTGGAATGGGCAAGTATACAGATAATTTCTAGTTGGTTGGCCAGGTAGCTGTCTTCCAAATTTCCTGGCGTAGATGAGTGATTCCCTCTAGCACTGCATCCATTTGTTAAAACATTTCACTTGCTTTTCTGTCAGTTCCTTCAGCCTTGTTTTTCGATAATGCATTGCATCTTGGACTTCTTCCTTCAGTAACATTGGTTCTTAATCTTCTGTTAGCTCTTGAAATGGTTGAATATCAACCAGTTCTTTTTGGTACAGTGACTCTGTATTCCTGCCATCCTCTTTGATGTTTCCTACATCGTTCAATATTTTGCCCTTAGAGTCCTTCAGTATTGCACCTCAAAGCTTGAACTTTCTCTTCAGTTTTTTCAGGTTGAGAAGTACTGTCCATGTCCAGGTTTTTGCACATTTCATTGTAATACTTTACTTTGTCTTCTTGAGCTGCCTTTGGAATCATGTGTTCCATTCTTCTATTTCATCATCACTTCCATTCGCTTTAGCTAGTCCACGTTCAAAAGCAAGTTTCAGAATCTCTTCTAACATGCATTTTGGTCTTTTCAGTGACATTTCAGTTTCTTCATGTATGATATCCTTGATGTCATCCCAGATCTCGTCTGGTGTTTAGTCATTAGTGTTCAATGCATCAAATCTATT